CGCTTATATGAAGCTACAGATAAGATCTGAGTGTCAGTTAGGGGCCACGCCGAGCAAGAAACACGTGCACCAGGCTCATGGCCGACATCTCATTTCTACACGAGAGATCCTCTCACAGATAATCCTCCCCACCCCCAGCCCCTTACAAAAACACAGCTTAACAAATGGTGACACATAGCACCGGGATTTATAACAGTCTACCCTTTAACTAATCCGATGCTACCTTTCGCATGCAATGTCTGTGCTATGGAAAATAGCATCAGCTTGTTCCTGTGCCGGCAGCGGGATATATTATTCACAATATATACTGAAACACGGCTGCCTATTTTGACATATTGTAAATATTGTGCGAAATATCTAGTGAAATTTGGGAAGTTGGACCCAGATGAGGGCTGAACCCGAGGACACTGTCTCAAGGAATTTAATTTAAGTTCGCGCAATGACTTCAGACGAAATTAAAAGGGCTAGCATGGAAAAATTGTAGCGCTCATCTAAGAGAAACCGCATGGCTGGAGCTGATGGGGTGAAGTCATTGCATCGTCATGCAACGACTTACAATTGGCGAAACCAGTGTCTGCACTTTTGACGAGCAGCATGACGAATTAGTCAAAACGCATATCTAGACTGCTGGCAAGACGGTCTTTCGGAGGTTGGTTAAACAAACCCAAGTCAGGTTGCAAATTTATTCTTTTGAGAATTCGGAAGGCGAGGGTGTGAAACATGACGGAACACATGACGCGCACAACGCTGACGTAGGAGAAACTGAAAGTTGGCACCCAAGGCTGATTGCGGAGTGGCACCGAATTTGAGTGCCGGAAAACTTTTCCTTACCAACTCCACTGCCTCATTCAGGTGGTTTAACGTACACTTGGAAAAGGCAAATGTGATTTTGCGGTGACAAAATGTTGCACTCATGAGACAGTGGCTGGTATTTAAAACGTGAGTACTCATACAGTATACATTAGGCCTCCGAAATACCTATGAAAATATCTCAGCATTTGATCTATTAACCTGTATCTCATCGCGCACATCAGCCCATCGGTCACTCTAGTCTAAACCAGAGCGCTTATTTTTCGAGGCATTACTAGTGAGTCTTGATGCCTAATTGCGAGCTGCCTCGGTCAATTGAAGGGTCCTAACGTGGTCGTCAGCCTAGAACTAGAATATAGATAACATTAAGATAGCCCATAAGCAGAATCCAGGTAAAAGAGCTAACAGACTGAGAGCGAAATTAAAGTGACCTCACAGCTCCAGACTGTACTTTATTAAGGAAAACGTTAATCATATTTTCACATAAAACGACACGCGTTGGGGTGCTTTTACGATCTGCTCACGTTGATGACACATTTACTGTCGGTTACTGCTTGCCCTAAAATGGGTCGCACAAGATTTTAGCTAGTTTTTTGCGTCGACCGAGTTTTGAACTTCGATAGGATAATGCTGAGAGGATATGTGGATTGCAGCTCACAGAACGGAAATTGAAATCTAAAAAAAGCCGACAGAAACCGACTTGACATATTTTTTATTCTTATAAAGACAATGAACCAAAAGTAGCCTGCACAAAGAAACTGATCAGACTTAGTAAAATGATGCTTTTCAAGGTTGACTCGTAGTTCTTTTAAGTAAAAAACATTCACATTTTACGCTAAAAATAAAATAAAATGACCAAACTTGCATTCCAATTTCTACCGTGTTTGTGCAAGCATCATGTCCAAATAACCCTTTTTACTCAGAAAAATTAAAAGACATTCTACATCTGTTCGGATGGGGGGAGAGCAAGACGATTTTTGAACAATTCCCTAGAAACATCACAAAGGTCTTCCTGGACCAATAAAAAAATAGCGATGACTGTCATCTACGGGTATAAGTACATCTATATCTCTAACTAAAAGTACACGCTTATTTCGAGATTAATAAAATGGTCAGGAAACAACAACACAATCAGTCAGACACAGCTGCAGATTTTATTTCTACGGAACCAAGCTGCAGGCATGTGAACTTCACTTTGTAACCTAAACGTCTGACGTTTCGCCGTTTCTCTTCGTTTCTCGGTCTAGCCCTTATGGTGCAGTCTTGACCTTCAACGGTCCGCACTGTAGCAAATTACATTTTACCAGTCTCGATTTTTTTGAAAACAATGCCAAAGGATCTTGTTTAATTTGACGTTCCTTTGTCGAAATATTATATGCCTATAGCAAATGGCTGTAAAACGTTACTTTTAAAACCGACCTGGTCCTAAGGTGCTCCTTCAGTTTTCGAAAATTTTATTTCACATCATGCTGAGGGGTTGCGGCAGGTGATCTAGATGTAGGATACGAGTGGTGGCTTACAGAATACGTCACTTAGTCAAAACTGGTCATTTCGGCTTATCTGCTGCTTGATTATGCTTGCAGCATGACAGTACCTCTTCTTAACTAGCCAATATCTTCTAAACATTTTGCGAAACGGTCTGGATTTGAAATCAGTAAGCATTGCCGAGAAAGGTGCCCAAAGCATTTAGACCCTTTAGAGGCCTTTACGACAGTAAGCTTTGATGGTTCATTTTAAGTGACTGTAGTTGCCCGATTGTCACGGCTATGGATTAAAGAATTCCAGAGGGTGAGTGTCAATTATTGTTTCAATCCCTAAAAAGCGCGTCATCCGTCCTTTCAATATTTGGTTTGCCCGAAAGTGGCTCTGGTATTTCTCTGGCCCAAGTTTTCATGTATCCACAATTTTTTTACTCTAGACACAAATTCACAGTAGGGTATACAAAAGGACATGCTGTATGGCGATTAGGTCTTAACCAGTTAATTCGATTTCTCCAACAAAAGTAATTGTACAATATTTAATTTATTGGACCGAATCTAACCATTTAAAACCTTGCATGTTAAGGGACATTCAAATCGAATGACTAGGGGAAATTAAGGGCTACTCACGGAGGATGTTTTCGAATAACTAAAGGATCTCTAAGAGTTAAGCAAAACTGAACGTCAAACCCGAAAATGTATACATCTTCTCAGTCTTCTGAGCCCTCCAAAAAGCTATTTTTGTACTTAAGTTCACACTGGTATATTATCAGGAAAAGGATAGTGACATCTGCAGTATTTATGTTTATTGCCCTTTTTAAAAATTTGATCAGGGTTAAGGCAAAATAAAGGGAAACATGCATAGATAAATGTTTAGGAGAATTCCAAAGAGCCAAAGGGCTATGAAGAGAAATGTATATAATTTACATTTAAATACAAAACATTTTATGTAGCGTGTGTGTGCATTTGCTGAAGACTTCGATTGAATGTCTCGACAATTCTTGGTTATTATAAGGGATTTTGAAAAGGCGCACTCCGATTCAGTAATCACTTTGCGAATCATACACGCCTTCCAAACCCTCCATTTCATTGCCTTCTGCCTTCTCACTCTCTCTGTCTGTGTGGATACCAACGAGTAGCTCGTATAAGATGGCCCCAATCGCTGCGCCAATTATAGGTGCTATTAACGGGACCCAGAAGTAGTAGTCATCAATTCGAAAAGCCTCCGGACCCCAGTCTAAAATTTTAAAAAATGTTACTTAGTATATATATATATGTAGGCCATTTGTATGAAAACGCCCTGAGGCCATAAGATAACTAGGAGAGATACATTTCGCCTTCCGTTTAAATTCATTCACTTTCCGATAGATGGCTTTATCCAGTTTACGGGAGTGCGTTTTTTTACAATTTTCCACAAACAAATGCTCCTTTTATGAAGATCAACTATCTTAACATTAACCCTAAAGTACAGACGTGTTTTCTGAAAGTGAGCAAGCTTGGCCAATAACTGCCGTAGAATATTTGTCATCAAAATAATGCGCAATCGTAAGTTCTTTCTCGTCTTCACACAACTACTACGTTCGCGTCCAGAAATCCCCTTTGACTAACCAGAAGAGATAAGCTATGCCATCGCTACCCGATCCCATCTTATTGAGCCCCAATTTCAAAATGTACGGCTATTCGCGGCACAAACAATCTTTTATGGACGGGAAAGACCTTCAAAGCAAAAGTCATTTCGGTGAAATGCGTCATTAGTATCATGCTTTATGGTAAGATCATGAGACATGAATGACATAAAACAATGTAATATGATTTCTGTGAGTAAGTGGAGCATTAACGACCGCTAAAATCTCTCACCAGGTTCTCTAAGGCCTTTATTGTCGTTGAATGTTCTGACCAAATTTGTCACTAGTGTGACGCGTTACATTAGTTGAGAACAACTGTTCTAGAAGATGGCATACATACTCGTCGTTCAATGGGTTTCCAAGTTCGTGTGCGACAGGTTTTAGAGATTATTTTAGGGTACGCCTGAGTTGCTTACAGAATGAAGCAGTCCACGAGGTATTGGTCAAAATCTAAAATTCTTCTATCAATGGAGAGAATTGTTCAACCGGGCCTCCATAAAGCATGCTTATGAGTTGGCTATTACGCATTAGCCTTCCATTATTCGGTTAAGTATATTTCCGGCCATGTCCTACTGTCACAATAAGACAAATCCGTCTGCTGAACTGATGAGCTTGCTTGCTCTCGAATTCGTATGATTAAGTGAATTTATCCTATCCCATAAAGCTCATGTGCAAAATTGTCGTTGATTTTCTCCGTGTTGCGAAGTAAGTTTGTAAAATTGTTCCCTTCGGGAAGGCATCAACTGCACACTAATTTATGCAAATCCTATAATGAGCACTGTACTTGTTCGTTATGATTTTTAATTTATCTGCTACTATTTATATCCCAAAAGTTTCTTATTGCCCATGAAGTGCTTTAAGAGCAAAACACCACATTAGGCCTTGCACTCGACATCTGCGAATATTTTCATATAAAGCAACAACTATAATACTAACAGTCTCCCGACTATCCTCCTGTTTGCACGCCTGTCAAAACCAAATTGCTGCTTTCCTTCAAGTTCCAAATTTAGAGACACAGCTGCCTGCAAAATGAATGTGAGAAATAGGATTGAGTTTGTATATGCATCGACAATTACAAATACGGACGCACGCTAAGGTTACTTTTAACCGTAATTTTAGTATCCTATCCCACGGGACTCTACTTCCAGCTCCGTTTCTGCTTACCGAGTGTTTCATTTTTGCCTAATTAAATATTTCCATTCGAAAAAATTTAAATATTTCAAAATTTAACAAAAACTTACAAGTTGAAAGGAGCAACAGACGAGGACCAAAGTCTCGAGCTGGGTTCAGAGCTGAACTAGCGTTTGCTGTGTAGGTGCCGACAGCCAGGAACACCACCATTCCCACCACGGCAGGCGTAGTGAAGGGGGACTTCTTAACCAGTCTATCTTCAGTGATGGCATAAATGCCAAATACGAGGATGGCGGTTGTAACGATCTGGTCTACCACCGCCGTTCCAACACTTGAGCCCTTATTGGCCACAAAAATGCCACCCGTACTGTTCGTCAAGAATTGTCCACCATCTTCGTTTTTCGCATATTCACATATTTTTGCGTTATATACAGCCAGTACTAGGCCAGCTCCCAAGTAGGCTCCAAGGAATTCAAGTAGTATGTATACAGGCAGCAGAGACCATCGCAAAGCGCCGATGATTGTGTTGGAAACGGCGACGGCCGGATTCAGAATGGCTGGACAGGCCTTTCCGGTGACTACAATGCTTACTGTCACGGCAGCACCCCAACCGAGACTGACAGTGAGAAACTGATTCAGTTTACTTGAGCCGAGGAATTTCTGAGCCACAGATCCGTCGCCATAAAAGATGAGCAGAAGAGTCCCGAGAGTTTCAGCTATTAGCTGCGTGATAACTGTATGTTTTGTTAGACGAATCTTGTCCGCAGTCCGGTGTATAAACGAGCAGTAGCGATCGTGGAGGTCTTGAAGAGGAGCCATGCCTGTTGCACAAATGCCTGAATGGTCGTTTTGTATTAAGTTTATATCCAGCGTTGCGTGCGCTTTTAACGGGTGTGTCTGCGTTGGCTGCAAATATTTTTCCGCCTCGTATGTTTGGCTCCGCTTTAGGAACACGTGAGCACGAAATATTGAACCCGAGTCTGCGTGACACTAGAGTAGCCCAACTACTCCACCCAGGATGAATCAGTGTTTTGCTTCTCTAGCGTACTTACCGCTGAAACGTTTAACCGTTATGCGACTTTAACGTGGTCACAATTTGGTTGCGGCGGGCTGAATGTAGATATCTAGAGATGTCTCACCAATACAGCTTATGTCTGAAATAAGTGACATCAGGCGAAAAATGTTATGATAATCCTGAATAAAGTTGCTTCAAAATAAATCAAAATATAAACATCGTCAAAAACAGAGGAGTGTTTTAGCAACAGACAATTATCTAAGTTGAGATGTGTGATTCTCAACCGCTGTCGGCTAAAAAACAATAGGTAACATTCCTGCATTTGATTGTTTTCTATTTTTCTAGACGACTAACGACATTATAAGTCATTAAGTGCATCCTCCTAATAATCCTTGGATAACTGATTTGTAGTCAGAGGTAATGGATTCCCCATATAATTATCGTAACGAGGTCTCACGTGTGCGTTAACTAGTCAAATTTAGACTCCATAATTTGTGTAAATTTTGCTCTGACTTATGGCGCCTAATTTGCCAACCGCGGCAGTATTCTAATATTAATGGAGAACACAGTCTAAATCTCAAATATATGGCTATAATTTTAAACAACTTACGAGAGGCTGACATGTATAAGATATTAATTTTTCATAAGAACGGGTTTTCTGAGAGACTAACCTGTACAATCCAAATAAGAGAGAGAGGCAGTATGCGTTATTTTCACCGGAAAGGCCTGTCCAGCCATCCTGAATCCAGCCGTTGCCGTTTCCAACACAATCATCGGCGCTTTGCGATGGTCTCTGCTGCCTGTATACATACTGCTTGAATTCCTTGGAGCCTACTTGGGAGCTGGCCTAGTACTGGCTGTATATAACGCAAAAATATGTGAATATGCGAAGAACAACGATAGTGGACAATTCTTGACGAACACTACTTGTGGCCTTTTTGTAGCCAATAAGGGCTCAAGTGTTGGAACGGCGGTGGTAGACCAGATCGTTACAACCGCCATCCTCGTAGTTGGAATTTCTGTCATCACTAAAGACAGACTGGGCAAGCTTTCTCATTTACGGAAAACGCGTCTGTACATTTCGCGTTAATTTTAACGTAGCTGATCTTCATAAAGGAAGCATTTGTTTGTGGAAAATTGTAAAAAAGACGCACTCCCGTAAACTGGATAAAGCCGTCTATCGAAGAGTGGATGAATTTAAGCGGAAGGCGAAATGTATCTCTCCTAGTTATCTTATGGCCTCAGGGCGTTTTCATACAAATGGCCTACATATATATATATATACTGAGCAACATTTTTTTAAATTTTAGACTGGGGTTCGGAGGCTTTTCGACTTGATGACTACTACTTCTGGGTCCCGTTAATAGCACCTATAATTGGCGCAGCGATTGGGGCCATCTTATACGAGCTACTCGTCGGTATCCACACAGACAGAGAGAGTGAGAAGGCAGAAGACAATGAACTGGAGGGTTTGGAAGGCGCATATGAATCACAAAGTGATTACTGAATCGGCGTGCGCCTTTTCAAAAGCCCTCATAATAACCAAGAATTTTCGAGCATTCAATCGAAGTCTTCAGCAAATGCGCACACACGCTGCATAAAATGTTTTGTATTTAAATGTAAATGATATACATTTCTCTCCATAGCCCTTTGGCTCTTTGGAATTCTCCTAAAACATTTTTGGCTAGATCACAGTTGGTAGCCAGGCCCCGTATTACAGGTGGCCGGGGGGTTTGTTTACTGGGGATATTTAGTGCTGCTCCATAATTACATCTGACTCATTTGGCTTCCGTTTTACGTTTGAGGTTAGGATTAGGGTACCAGTTAATAGTTTCTGATTTTCGGATAAGGGTTATGTCTTTAGGCTTAGCTTTTTAGGTTGCCGTTAGGGTTTGAGCGTACGATTAGGGTTCAGTATTACGGTTAGGTTTTTCAGTCACGGCTATGTCTAAGGGTTGCGGTTATGTTGACGATTTCGGTTAGGGTTAGGGTTGCCGTTAGGGTTAACTGTCAACGTTTAGGGTTGAGGTTGGGGTTAAGGTTAGCGTTAAGATTATAATTAGCTTTAGGGTTGTCGTCCGCTTCCCCATTCATGGGTACCAACTGCGATCTAGCCCATTTATCTATACCTGTTTACCTTTATTGTGCCTTAAATTGGAACCCTGATCAAATTTTTTAAACGGGCAATAAACATAAATACTGCAGATGTCACCATCCTTTTCCTGATAATATACCAGTGTGAACTACAGCACAAAAATAGCTTTTTGGAGGGCTCAGAAGACTGAGAAGATGTATACATTTTCGGGGTTGACTTTCAGTTTTGCTTAACCCTTAGTGATCCTTTAGTTATTCGAAAACATCCTCCGTGAGTAGACATACATTTGCCTTAGTCATTCGGTTTGAATGGTCCTTAACACGGCAAGGTTTGGAATGATTAAATTCTGTCCAATAAATTAAATAGTGCACAATTACTTTTGTTTGAGAAATGGAATAAACGGATTAAGACCTAATCGCCATACAGCATGTCCTTGTAAATACCCTACTGTTAATTTTTGTTTAGAGCTAAACGATTGTGGATACATGAAAGCTTGGCTCAGAGAAATACCAGAGCCACTTTCGGGCAAACCAAATTTAGAAGGACAACAAAAGCATTTTAAAAGTGATTACCTAGACTTAAAGGTGTTACTTTGATCTTCCGAAAGGACGGATGACGCGCTTTTTATGGATTGGAACAATAATTGACCTTCACCCTCTGGAATTCTTTAGCCCATCGCCGTGACAATCGGGTAATGGTAGTCACTTAACATGAACCATCAGCGTGTACTTTTGGTTAGAGATACACATGCGCATATGAGTATTTGAGACAGCGGATGTACTCTTCTCGTAGATGACAGCGATCATTATTTTATTGGTCCAGGATGACCTACTTGTGATGTTCCTAGGGAATGCATCAAAAATGGTCTTGCTCTCCCCCCGTTCGAACAGTGGTAGAATGTTTTTATTAATTTGTCGGATAAATAAGGGTTATTTGGACATGATGCTTATGCAAAAACGGTAGAAATTGGAATACAAGTTTGGTCATTTTATTCTATTCTTAGCGTAAAATGTGAATGGCTACTGCGTAAAAGAGGTCCGCGTTAACCTTGAAAAGCGTCATTTTAATAAATCTGATCAGTTTCTTTGTGCTGGCTACTTTTGGTTCATTGTTTTTATAAAAATGTAAAATAAGTCAAGTCGTATATGTCTGCTTTTTTAGATTTCAATCACCGTCCTGTGATCTAGAATCCACATCTCCTCTCTGCATTATCCTATCGAAGTTTGAAACACGGTCGATGCAATAAATCTCTTGCGCAACCCATTTTAGGTCAAGCAGTAATAGACTGTAAATGTGCCATTAACGAGGTTAGATCGTAAAAGTACCCCAATACCTGTCGTTTCATGTGATAATATGACTGACGTTTTCGTTAATAAAGTACAGTTTGGAGATGTGAGGTCGCTTTAGTTTCGCTCTCAGTCAGTTGGCCCTTTTACCTGGATTCCGCTTATGGGCTATGTTAATGTTATCTATATTCTAGTTCTAGGCTGAGGACAACGTTTGGGCCCTTCAGTTGACGGTGTCAGCTCCCAATTAGGCTTCTGGACTCACCAGTAATACCTGCTATATTACCTCGAATAATAAGCGCTCTGGTTTGGGTTCGAATAACCGATGGGCCACAGTGCGCGATAGGATACAGTTTAATAGATCAAATGCTGAAACATAATCAAAGGCATTTGGGAGGCCTAATGTACATTGAATGAGAACTCACGTTTTAAATACCAGCCACTGTCTCATCGGTGAAAACTAATCAAATGCAGCAGTAAGGAAATGGTGTGCAACAAATTTATCGCCATAAAATCACATTTGCCCCCTTTAGGTGTACGTTAGACCACCTGTATGCGGCAGTGGAGTTGGTAAGGAAAGCTTTTCCGGTATTCAATTTCGGTGCAACTCCACAATCAGCCTTGGGTGCCAACTTTCGGTTTCTCCTACGTCATCGTTGTGCGTGTCATGTGTTCCGTCATGTTTCACACCCTCGCCTTCCAAATTCTCAAAAGAATAAATTTGTAACCTGACTCGGGCTTGTCTAACCAATCTCCAAAAGACCGTTTTGTCAGCAGTCTAGACATGCGTTTCGACTTATTCGTCATGCTGCTCGTCAAAAGTGCAGACACGAGTTTCGCCAATTTTAAGTGGTTGCATGACGCCGTTGCAATGACTTCACCCCATCAATTCCTGCCCTGCGGTTTCTCCAATTTTTTCCATTCTAGCCCTTTTAATTTCGTCCGAAATCGTTGCTCGAAATTGAATTAAAGTCCTCGAGACAGTCGTTCTCACAGGTTGAGCCCTCACCTGGGTCCAACTTCACACATTTCACTAGAACTTTCGCACAATATTTACAATTTGCTAAGAGAGTCAGCAGTATTTCAGTATATATAATAATAAGAATATATCCCGCTGCCGGCACAGGAACAAGCTCAGGCTATTTTTCATAGCACAGACATTGCATGTGAAAGGTAGCATCGGATTAGTTAAAGGGTGGATTGTTATAAATCCCGGTGCTATGTGTCACCAGTTGTTATGCTTTGTTTGTGTACGGGACTGTGGAGGTGCTCTGTGAGAGGATCACTCTTGTAGAAATGAGATGTCGGCCATGAGCCTGGTGCACGTGGTTCTTGCTCGGTGCGGCTCTTACTCGACACTTAGATCGGTGAAGATTAACGGTTGAGCACCGGAACACTTCGTTTATTGTCCTGAGCTTTCAGA